TGGGGAATTCCAAAATTATGGGACTGGGCGAAAATTACACGCGACACTTGTTGCGAGCGTGTAAGGGTGACTACCTATTTTCTCGGCTTCGTTATAAATATACACTTTACTGCAGTAGAGGCTCAGTGTCCTAGATTTGCGGCTGAACGCGCGTACATTTTATTTAAGGCGCGCCGTAAAGCTTATATGCACGCTTTACGCTCTCGGAGGCAAATGGTACAAATATACAATAAACGGTACGGTTGCGCAATCGTACACGCTAAGAGAAATGAGGTATGACAATCCCATTGAAAATTATTTTCATACATGCAATATGTTGTATTGTCCGATAGGCAAACTCATTGTTACAGTGACTTTTGTTAAGTCGAGCTCTGTTTTTTTTTTTTTTTTTTTTTTTTTTTTTTTTTTTTTTTTTTGCAACGAATTGACGATTTGTTTGTTAGTGTTTTAGTACAAAAATTTTAATGGCAGCCTTGGACAAACATTACTATTCATCATTGATAGCAAGACCGAAAACTCAAATAATTCACATTTTGATGCACTGATTTGGCAACGAACATGATTTTGTCAAAATAATTTTTTGAATTTAAGGTATGTCTACTATTCCTGTAACGCCGCTAATCCAATGACTGAAAAAAAAATTTTCAATAGTAATATTCTCCTCTAAATCATATAATCTGACGAAGCTCTCGTCACTCGTGATTTCAATAACAGAAAAATTAAATAACTTTTGGATTAACTCTAAAAGTCATGATTCAAATTAAATTGTTTACACAAAATTTCACATACTTTGGAATCAACTAGTTGCACAACTAAAACCATATTAAGGCAACAAACAAACGAACAAACAAATTTTGACGATTTGCATACGTGCTCATGGCGACTGAAAAATCACCTAATTTTGAATAGTTTAAAGCAAAGACTGATAAAAAATAATCCCATTTGATTTGTTTGAAATGCAGTTAAGTTCGCATGGAAAAATTTAAAAAACCAACATCTTTGTACCCGCAAAAAAAAAACTCTGGCCAATAAAAAACGACATAAAAAGGATCACGAAGCTACTAAAAATTACGTGCAAATTGACAAAAAAAAAATCAGTTGACATCCAAAGTATGAACAACGCGTCTACGTCGGAAGAATTCGTCATCAACCGAAGCTCACACCCGCACGTAATCCTCCACCCCTCTGTATCTTCATCACACCCTCGATTTCCCGTAAAAAGACAAAATCTCTACACATGCACGATGATGAAAAAAAAAAAAAAAAAGGAAGAAGCTAGTTCCCTGCCTAAAAGCCGTCGTCACTTCCTTCCAACCTGCACGAGGTACAACCACCTCGTATCGATCCAGCGACGTGAACGTGGTGGTAGTAGCAGTAGTAATACTAGCAACACATAGTGCGAACCCAAGAGAGAGAGAGAGAGAGAGAGAAGAGGAGAGAAAAGAGGGTCGACGGCACCGACATCCTCACGCGGGCGAGTCGACCGACGTCCCGCCAAGGATAATGGGCATGTCCTCCGGTCTCCTGCCGCGCAGGGCGCTTGGACTTATACGTGCATCCACGTACGGACAGTCTTGTTTTCGTCTTTTGGTTACCTTTCTTTCGCCTCCTCGCGGTCCTCGCGAGGACTCGGGGTTGCTCTAGCCCTTCGAGTGCACGTTCGTTTTTTGGGCCTTTTTTTTGCGGGCCGCCAACATGTCGTAGAACGGGTTGTGGGAGATGCTCTGCCTGCAAGAGTCAAGGTACGGTCAGCCGATTCTTTTTTTTTGTGATGCTCGGATTTGCCGATTTTACCGGATAGACTTGGTAGGCATTTTTTTATTCAAGTCTACAATCGACTTTACATTGACATTTTTGTACGCGATTTTTTGCAAGATAAGAGGTTATTGGAATTGATTGCACGTATAGGGATTGGGTAAAAAAAAAATACACGTATGTATACATTTTTTCAAAGCTAACTTTACTTACCGCACGCACTTGATCCACTCGTCTTTTTCCTCATTGGTTGCTGCAGACATTCTGTAAACTGTGTGCTTACCTGAAAAAAATTTTTTTTAACTAAGATTGTAATCTACATTTTTTTTATATGTACAATTTTATTTGAATTTTAAAAAATTAGGTGGCTCCTCCCCCTGCACGCTTCGAACACCAACCCCAAAAGTTTGATAAAACGTTTCGTTTCCTAAATTTTTCGAGTACAATGATCCATTGAAATAATTAGCTTTTTTTTTTTAATATTTTTTTTTTCGCACACAAATATAAATTTTTTTATGACTCAAACTCAGTTTTGAATAAAATCTTAAACATGCTCCTGTAGAATTGTTAATATTTTAAAAAGAACAGTTCAACAGAGCAATCAGATAACGTATTGTATCATGTGTGTCGAGTACATAAATAAATTTATTGTAATTATTTTTGTTGGGTATTTTGTTCATTAACACTAACAATAAAACACTCTACANAATGTCTTTACACCTGAATCAAAAGTAAATTAACAAATCCGCCGTGAACAAATTAGTAGGCTGGTGGAAAAAATAAGTTTATAACTTTTTTAAAATAATTTATCATTTTTTTCAACTTTTACATGCAACACAGTGCTTAGAAAAATTTCCAACAAAACCAATGATAATTTGGAAGGAATAAACAATTTAGAAAAAAAAGAGTTCAAATATTTAAAAAAAGTATTTTGACATTCTTTAAAATAAAATTTGATGCATAAAATTTATTGTACTGATCTTTATTGTGAGCAGTGGCAAAAACAAAATTCAAAAAAATAATAAACAATTCATGAAAAATATTTTTTATGAATAGTTAAGAAATCCGTAAAATAAATGTACCCGAGTATGGCAATTGATGATTAATTGTTAAAATAGAGCCATGCAGTCAACAGCCAAAATTTCACCATCACGTGAACTTAGTCAAAAAGTAAACTCAATCGCTTTTTCTGAAGTGATAATATCTTGCATGCCATTTTCACGCTAACTCCAATGTTACATGGCATGTACCATATACTCATACTGCCTAGCAGATGAAACTCGTTAAAAAAGTGCTTGGTGGTCTGACAAAACATTTTCCATCTAGTTTTCAAAAAATTTTAAGAAGGATCGTTCGTTTTTTTTTCGTCAGTCCTGGATAATTAATACATTTAGGCGATAAATTTTACTTATTTTTACTTTTAACCGTGAAAAAAAAATGTATACAATGTGTTTCACGTTTAATTTTATTCAATTTTGGTCAATTCATCGTCACTTCTTCAAGACCAAGACTCGTTTGCTTATTATGTGTACAAAAGACTTGTATCTACCAACTGAGCCACGCCAATTGGCTACCAACGAAGAAAAATATAAATATAAGGAGAACAAAAGCAGCATCGCAGGCCAAAATGCAGTTTTTTTCCAATTCTTCGACAAAGTAAATCACTTGCGCTCAAATATTTACGAAATTAATCTTCACGACCTAATTATTTTCTCTTCTCGCACCTAGGCCCTCAATCGCAGGGGGAAATGAGGTATGCAAATAAAAAGTTTCCGTATACGTAGATCAGAAATGTATAAATACACATACAGGTAGAAAGTCCACACGAATCCTCGCGTGGGTGTATTTATCCGTGGGAGTATGCGTGTTCGTGCTTGCCCATCACTCTATCGTCTTTTTTTAATACCAAGTTGTTACTTTACGCCACTTTCGAGTGATTAGTTTCCCTTCGACGTTTACGGCGACTTGTATTTTCCTTCTTTTTCTTTCTTGATACGCTTAAACCCTTTTTTCCCCTTTTTTTCATGATAAGTGATGGCACCTAATATCGTTAATGGAAACGGCCGTGCATGGGATTTCAAGAGGCAGCAAAAACGATGATTCGGCATTCGTTATTTCTCTAGACAATACGCGCATCTGACGCTGCTGGCTTGTCTCTTGCTAGATTTTTTTTCCGATTTTTCTCTTGGGAGTATCCGTGTACTACGGGTAAGAATTTTTTTTTGTAATATTTGCAAGCTCTTTAGTTATTTTTTTTTAGCTTTCAAATAAGCGTTGACGAGCACAGAAGCGACGCGACAGGAGGATTGAAAAACAAAAGACACAAGAAAAATTGTAAGATTCTCACTGGAGAGAAAAAAAAAAAAAAAACTTATCAGACAAAAAAAGACGGAACATTGTGGTGACTATATTTTTTTGTGAACTCGATCCTCGTATTTTGAGTATTAAAATTAAGTTGGAAACTGAAGCTGTCTTCGCAATGCTAAATGTAGAAACAACGAATTACTTTTCATTCACAAAAATTCAGAATATTATTCGTAATTATTCATTTAAATAGCATTCACACAGTTGGAAAAATAAATATAAATAACTCAATAAAAAAATCTGTATGGGTTTTAAAAATGTAACCGTCTTCTATTTAAAAAAAAATTTTAATGATAAATTTTTTCACTTTACTGGTTCTCCGACAAAAGGTTTAAAAAAAATATTTTATTCTTTATTGGCGTTGATTCCGGCCGACCCTTTGCTACCTGATCTCCGAACCATTGTAATTTTTTACCAAGAGCACTAAATCAAGCAAAATCCATTTTCAATCAAAATCACTCGCTGAGAACTTAAGTGTTCAAGACCCATCAAGGATTTTTATTATTCACCCTGGTTCGTATATAAGCATTGCCAATGGCATAAACATGAATCGAAAATTAGCAAAGAAGTTTGATGTCCTGAGTGTGAGGTCTTATAAGATCGTTCCGAAGGTTACCATTATTCATTGTACTCGTAGAGTGCAAAAAAAAACCTCCTCATAAAAGACCCAGAATTTGCACACCATACTCGTGGGTTCTTTGAAAATTGTCTACGTGTCACCAATGCAAGTTTCAATCTCGAGTTACACAAGACTCAAAGAGCAGCCGCAGCGCTAACAACCGTACACGTAAGAAAATTCGCGTACAGCTGCAAAAGTGCATGAAAAAAAAAAAAAAAAAAAAAAAAACACAAGATAAGTATACGGCATGCATGATACCCACCACAAGCAGCTCCCTGGGTAGATCGCCACCGTTGTTGATGCCGCGATTCATATTGATGAACTGCTCGACGCTCGGCTTGTCCTTGACGCTCGGATTGTGCAGCGACGTGTTGAGCATGATTATCGAGAAGCTGAGAACGTAGCACGTGTCCGTGTTGGTGAATATGTTGGGGTTGAGCTGGCAGTACCTCTGGGCGAAGCACTCCATCATGCGGTCGATCTTCTGGGCCTCGCCGGGAAGCCGGAACGACCACAAGAATTGCCGTAGCGCCTGCACGAGTATCAGATCGGTGAAGTCGTGGAGCTCGACGAAGGCCCGGAGCACGCGCTCGTTGAACTCGTTGCGCTCGCCCAGGTAGTCGCCGATCGCCGTCTTGTTCAGGCCCTCGCCCTTGTACAGAAACTGGGCCACGTCGTCCGGGTTGGCCGTCAGCAGGCCGTTTTCGATCAGGTACTCGATGCCCTTCTTCGGATCCATGTTGAATTTTTTTCGGCCGATCGACGTCTGTTTGGCCTTGCTGTTCGACGACTTTGTCGCGTCGTCCGTCGCGAGACCGCCGCCCTCCATCGCCTCCATCTCGGCCACGACCTCGCCGATTTCATCTTTTAGTTGCTGAAACAGGACCGGAGAAAAGGGATTGGGATTTCTTTACTTTTTTCTTTGTATACGTAAAAGTGTGTGTAAAAGTAGCATGTCATTGAAGTTCCTAAGTTTTTAGAAATGCCTGGAATTTTTTAGTGATGCATTCAAGAAATGTTATAATATCTATAGATAATGCTGAAGAAAAATTACGTTTTTTTTAAGAACACTACATGTGCGTATGAATTTAAGAAATATTTTTTCCAGACGTATATTTGAGGAAAAAAATTCTTTTATTCCACAATTTAATATAGACTCTTATGGGGGTCAGTAATTTAATTGTATTCAAACTCCCTGGTAGAAAATTACTATATAAACTGGCTAGAAACTCGTCAACGTACATGCGTCAATCGGCTTATAATATGTTGATGAGTTTCCAGCCAAATTGTGTAGTAACGTTTCTACCAGGGCTACCATTTAAATAAATCAAACTAAAAAAAAAAATTAATTAAAATTAATTAATTTTTAAATTAAGCTATTTTAAGAGCCTTTATTTAATTGTGGAGTTAGATGGAGTTAGAGCTTTTAAGTATTTACAATGAGCGTATACTTATTGTACATTATGAATTTGAACACTGGAATCATCAGAAAATTTCTATCCGGCCGATATCAACCACATAAAAACGTGTAGAATTCTTATTTAAAGTATGTTCCATTATTCTTATTTTAATGAATAAAAAAAAAATTACTTCCAAATCGTAGCACGTATTCAAAAATAAATTGCCACAAAACTGTTATTTATTTTCAAAATTAAATTTCTGCACGTGAATACACGATGAACTTTCTAAATAGCCTTACTCCAAACAAAAAGCAAACTTTTCTCTTATTTTTTTTCTTTCCCACCCACTGTTACCCCTCGATCGTTTAAAAATAAAAGAAAGTGTACTGCACTCCTCTAAGTGGAACGCGCACACCTTGGGAATGATAAATAAAAAATCAAGTTGGCTGCATTGAACCCGAGATTCCTAAGACTATATATAACAACTACAATTACACCGGAGAAACCGTTGAAAAAAAGAAAGTGCGAAATAAGTTCTCAAAAGAGTACCGCCGTCACTTCGGTTATCGTACTGTTACACCACGCGTGTATAAGTTGCCACTTTGGCACAAAAACAATGAAGGAGTGACCTTTCGTTTGGCTCGAGCTTTCAATTATGAGCAAACGAGCGGGAATTCTCATTAAAATTAAAACTCGTTCTGCGGCCGCGTAGGTATATGTATGCGAAGGGAATTGCGCTACTAATCGAGTTTAAAAGAAAAAAAAAGTACATGCACACCCAAGGGGTACACGCCCGCACTGCGCGCGACAATCGAGTTTGAAGTGAAGTTTTTGGAAATCGGAAAAGAGCCGAGAGGGCTTATTAAAAAAGTTGAAAAGAATTTCGTCGAACTTCCCTCTTTGGTTTAATAGGCGGCGCTGATGATATTACGGGAGATATGTTTTTTTTTCTTTTTTTTTTTTTTTTATTGATAGAGAAGCCAGTCGATGTTTTGTTATTTTTAATCGATTTATACATCGCAATATAAATTTTAACGTTTATTGTATTAAAAAAAAATGTATATATTTATTGAGTCCGAATCATATGTAAAAAAATCTTTCATGAGTCTAACAATTTTACAAAGCAAAATCGTTAAAAGTTTCATAAAACATATTTTTCAAGGCTAATTCAAATTATGAGACAAATTTAATATCAATCAAAAATATTCTAAAATTACAAATAAACTTTCTCTCTATACGTATATACGCAAAAATTATTGAGCATAAGATTTGTTGGCACACGCTCTGCTCCGATGCGACAGTGATGACGAAAAGCTCAATTTCACACTGTATACGTAAAGACTGTCCTGCGTGTTAATATAAAATATAGTTTTGGCACCTGAGTTTAATTTCCGCGCTATATATACATCCTCCAAAATGTTGGCAGCTGTTATATTGCATGCGTGTTTTAACGCATCATATATGCATATTAAGTATCAAATATGACGGCAAGATACAATGTAAAATGACAAAAAATGCGGCTAAAGTGTTATGACAAAGTGTAGCTTTACCATGAGATTGCAGTAAAATTAAGTATGCATGGCATTATTCATATTTTAATTATAATTCACTCTAATTTTTCCCCTTTTTAGAAAAATAATTACCTTGGTTTAATGTAAAAATTCCCGTTTTTGCGCACATCCCATGATTGTACGGTATAAATTACAAATATTTATGTTCTCTATGACAAACAAAAATCTCGCGAGATAAACGGTATTGGATTTATTGTATCGGTAAAAAAATTACTTCACATACAGTTACGAAAACTGTATGTGATACCTTGTAGGAATATTTATAAATTTAAGTTGTATTCTTCTCCATTAAAATCAAAGTCACCGACTAATCTTTGCCATATTTCATGTATGCAACAACGATTGCAAGATGAAAGAAAGATTATGCCAGAAAAAAAACCCTGTAATTATTAAAGCACTTTACCTTAATACAATGAAGTCATTACACGCAATAATTCGTGAGGTGCTCCATGTTGTATATAAGTAAAACACGCAGTCCACAGCCATCACCGCCAACACCCACAACACGATCGAAGGGAAAAGCAAAAAAAAAAAAAAAGACGACAACCCAAAAAAAAGAGAGATCATCAGCCTCGTAGTCACAACACTACCCTATTATGCGTTGAACGTGCTCCTCCCATATCCAGCCAACGACCCGTTTATTGTAGGTATACGTGTTGGTATAGGTGTGTATACGTGTAAAGTGTATATACTTAATATAAAAGTGAGCGAAGGAAGAGCGTGTGCAGCGACTTATACGTTTCCCGGACGACATGTACATATATGCAGTACGCCGGATACGAACTTTCGGAGGGAATAAAACAACCAAAGTTCGGTAACCCTTTACTCATACGTATAGGGTTTTTTCTTCTATTATTGTAATATTCATAGTATACGTGGGGGCTCCACCTTTTTTTCCAAAAAGATTGATCTCATGTATAGTGGAAACAAAAAAAACCATTTTCCATTTCAAATGCACACGGACAAGCAATAGATTTCCTATCGCGATTCCCCTACAATAAATCCGACTCTGATGCGCTTTCGTTCCAATTACGGGAGATGAAATTGATTCATCGAGAATAAAAAAAAAAAAAAGAAAACTTTATCCCATCTCATTTGATCGCTGACTAGAAGAAGTATATATACGGACAAAAAGAAGGAAACAAACACCGTACACTCTTAAGGGTAGTGATTTACGTGCTGTGCGGGGATTCCCCCATTTTTGTGATCCCTCGTGATTGAAACGCACTCTGTTTTTTTTTCCCTCTACACTATTCATGGAATAAATTGTTTTGGGATTTAAAATTTTATGTAATCGTGTTGGCCAACTTGATCCAGCGGTGACCCTGTACGTCACATTCAAAGAAGTCACGCCCACGCAAAAAAAAGGACCGCCAAAGAAAAACGCAACGCTTTCCCGTGTCGTATCGATACGTGAGTGTGCGTGCACGCTCGGATGGGTTATGCAGCACAGGATGTACAAAACGACGAAAATGACAGGAATTCCCGGGAGAGAATCGTGGGACAGGCGGCGACGACTACGGCGAGGGGAAAGAGACATTTTTTTGACGTAATAACACACATAAGAGCGCGGTGGTGGCTGGGCTGCCTGGAATGCAGGAGCTGATAAAGAGAGGGAAAAAAAAAATAAGAAAGAGACGAACGAGGACACGCAGTGATGTATGCGTGCAGTGCATATATGTATATGCAAAAGATGATATGATACGTGAAACGCAGAGGGGAGGAGAGAAGAAAAGTCAAGGAGATGATGAGGAGTGTGAGAGGAGCGAATTATACGTTTCGTTTGCTTCTTCGTTTCGTAGTCGTGTTATTATGCATATAATGTACTTATACACGGGTGACGGCAAGTGCATGGGGACTTTTATCTTGTAATACGTATCTCTTTGCAATACAATGCGCACAAATTCACGTGCATCTTCTTTTTCTCTTGCTAATGAATCCCGTAAGAGTACCACAGGGATTTCGATGAGAATCCCTAGAGACTCCTTCGTGTTTGCCGGATAGAATTGCAAAGGGTGTCCTCAATACTGTACTCAAAGCACCCCCAAACCCCCTAAAATATAAAATATAGATATTTGAATGGAAAAAATTCGGATGATAATTTTACATAAATTATGAGCATTTAGAAAAATGAAAAAAAAAACTATGATAAAAAACAAAAACTGATGATTTTAGATAAATTTATAAAAAATAAATGATTCTTAAAACCTCTGTCACTCAGTGCATAAACGAATTATGAGCATTTAGAAAAATGAAAAAAAAAAAAAAAAAAAAAAAAAAAAAAAAAAAAAAAAAAAAAAAAACTAAGGAGTTGAAAAGAAGAGCCCACGTAGACAACAAACGCATCAAACATCAGACACACTCGGCGCACCCAATACGCGCTGAATAATGCATCGAAGTCCCCGTCGTCAAAATTAACATGCACGACCATCAGCCCCGAGAGAGAAGAAAATGCAGAGAGGCAAAAGCGCCATTATAACGACCCCGATTTTCAAAATGCCTCCCCCCCCTGCACTTCTCCTTTTGTGAGTGCAGCCTATAATTTCGCGACCCCTCGTTTTTCCTCGTGGTGCACAGCACACGCAACTCGTCGTCATCGTTGAATCAAGTTCCGCGAATGACTGTTTGGTACACGTGATGCGGGGGTGAGTTTTTTTTTTTTTTTTTTTGGACCTCATTAATCCTTAATTATCGAGGGGCTGGGGGCGCTCTCTCGTTCGTTTTAATTACAAGGGGGTCATCGGGAACATGGTTATAGTGTAAAATTTTAGCGGATCAGATTGCCTAACGTTATAATTAGTTTAATGAATAACGCCATCATATTTATTTTCATTTGTTAGTAAGTTATACATGAAAATATATATAAATGTTTTTTTTAAGCTACTCAGCCTTTATAAAAGTGA